GGGGGCTCTCTGTGTTATTTAAGAAAAGAAGGGGCTGGGGTGAAGCTCAGTGGTAGAGCACCTGTCTAGCGTGCTTGAGGCCCTGGGTTCTATTGCCAGCACTAAAAAAAAGTAAAGAACAGAAAAGGCCTAGAGAGAGTAGAGGGAGGAGAGGACCTTCTTAGGCCCCCAGAGGATTTCCCTGGGCCTGGGTAGCATTTGATCAAACTGTTAAGAGGCCACATACCACACTCAAAAAATAAAACAAAACATAAAACCCTGGCATTCAGTGTTAAAGAGTTGTTGGTAGCCAGCCTGTCCATCCTGTTTCCTAAGCCCCCACTCTGTCTCCTGAAGACCCCTGCTCGCCATCCCCTCAGCTCTCATATGCCCATGTCTTTGTTTTTCTGTTCCTTCTGCCCACATCCCATTCACTGGCCTTCACATTTTTTTCCACTCTTCAAGACCCAGATTGAGGGCTGTCTCTGTGGTACAGACCATTCCCTTCATCTTGGGGTCCCACTTCTGAGCACCCACCACACCCCTAAATCATGGAACATACTGCTTTCTGGTTCTTGTCAATATGGGCTGAGTTAGGTTGAAGCTCTAACCCCTGGACCCCAGAATATGACTGTATTTAGAGAGAGGGTCTATAATGAGGTAGTTAAGTTAAAGTGAGGTCACAAATACAGGCTTAATCCCTTGTGACTGGTGTCCTTATAAAAGAGACTAGGATACAGAAGCCAGAGGCCCATACACAAAGTAAAGAGCAGATGAAGACCCAGTGCAAAAACAGCCTTGACCAAGCCAAAGAGAGAGGCCTCTGGAGAAAACAACCCTGCTGGCACCCAGATCTCGGAGCCCAGCCTCTGGGACTGTGAGGAGTATCTCCTATCTAAGCCAGGAGCTTAGCCAGTCAGCAGCAACCCAAGAAGACACCGGTGAGCAGTCCCTCTCCCCTAAGAGATGGGCAAGGTGGGGCTCCTACACTGGCCAACAAAAGCATGTTGCTCTTGGCCTCCGTGGTTGACAAGCCTCGCTAGCTAGTCCAGTCAGAGTGAGCCCTGGGACTCTTACAAGTCCAGCCAGAAAAAAGCCAAGGCTCTTTCCTGCAAGTCTTGAACCTGAAAGTTGTGGCACTGGGGCTTCATTGGCCATCTGGATGCCCCAAGAGGCAGCCCTGGGGTTGCCAGAAGGCATCACTACCTCTGCTCCAGCCATCCTGAAAGCCAGTGTCATCCCTGACTTTCTAGTTCTTTAGGCATCTGTAATTTCCTCCTTCACTTGAGATGTCTTGAATTGGGTTTCAGTTTCTAGTTTCCAAGGGGGCCTTGCCTGGTGTACACTCATGGCCTTTACAGATCTATGCAGGAAAACCCAGATTTCTACTGAAGAAGAAAGGCAGAGCCTGGAGGTTCCACAGAATGGAGGGTCAGCAGGTGGAGGGGAGTCTCAGCATAGGATGGAGAACCTAAGAAGAGGCTGCCTGTCTACCCACCCCCACATTCACTTTCCCCTTCCTCCTCCCCTCAGATCCTTAGCTTGTCTCTTGACTGCTCTGAATAAAGTCTGAACTTCCCAGCCAGCTTCCCTTGCAGCTAGGTGTGGCTATGTGACCAAGTTCTGCCCAAAGGGATATAAGCAGATGTGTGGGGTAAAGTTTCTGGAAGTCTTTCCAAAAGCAGAGCACGGGTCCTGTGGTACACAGTGTCAGGGTTTCACATGTCAAAGACCACACCCTTGTCCTCATGCCTACAATGCAGTTCTAGTTAAGAAGGCATTTCCAGAAAAGCAAACTTGGGGCAAGAGCTCAAATGAAGAGCCCAGATATCCTAAACTTGAGGCATGATTCTTGGTGTCCTTGAGTAGATACTTGTTCACACATAAGAAAATCAAAGTGTACAGGGGAAGTGACTCTCAAATTGCTTGGGGTTCCATCTTAACCCATCTGCCTCAGGTGTCACTCATTCCTACCATCCTAGAAGCCCAGGCCAGATACCTCCTTCCTAGCTGGACTTCAGGTTGTCAGTGTCCCTCTGTCCTGTCAGCTAAGGTCTCCATTGTTATTGCTTAGGCCCAAGCCACTGTCATCTTCTGCCTGGAACCCCAACCAGACCCCTAAGTCCCACTCTTGGCCTTTTGCAGCCCATTCTCTTCCCAGCAGCCAGAACACTGCTAGTAAATCTGGTTGTGGATCCCATCTCTCCACATCTCCATGTTGGCTTTCAGTTGCATGAAGGAAAAGCCAAATGCCTATCCTAGCCTGACAGGTGCTGCCCCAGCCAGGGCCTGACCACCTGAGCTTTCTGGTCCCCTCCCTCACTGGACACCAGTCACACGGGCTTCATTGCTGCTCCTCCAGCCTCCCACCAAGCATGGTCCCACCTTGGAGCCTCTGCACCTGCTATTCCCTGTGCCTGGCATGTTTTTCCCCAGTCGTACCAAAGGATCCCCTTAGGAATCTAGAGGTCTTTCCTGACCACACACACTGGCACAGAGTATCCAGCCACAGTGGGCACTCAGTAAATAATGAGGGCATGCATGATGAACCCATGAATGAATGTGTTGGTACCCATCTTTTAATGAATCTTTCAGAATTCCTATTAGGTTGAATCATATGATATTGTTTTCTGTGAGTCAATAACCATTGAACTGCAGCAGTTTCATATGGTTCGACTACACGCATATGGTTCATGCCCACACCCTAAATCCTCCAAAGCTTCATGTCCTAGAGATTCAAACTCATTAGACAGACTCCCAACACCTCCTGGCTTCACTCCCTTCCAGGTTCCCTGAGCATCACTACTCTCAGGCTTTCTCAGGCTCCTCTTTTTACTTGAATACCCTGTGGCTGCCCCTGTCTGCCCACTAGCTAGCATGCCTCTGCTCTTCCCTGGCATATGGGTGGTGGTGTTCTTCCTTCTCTGAGCCTGCAGTGGGTGGCTTGTTTCCACAACTGTGGCCAGCAGGGGCAGCTCCATCCTGGTCCCTGTGCCCCCTACACTGTAGCGCTACTGCCACAGTCCCACGGTCACCATCAAAATGTGGCCATGATCTGGCCATTCCTATACTGAGACTGTAGGCTGGGCTGGGCTGGACCCTGTCCTGGGAGAGCTGCCACTCACTTTTGCTGACTTTGGGCACCTCCCTTTTGAGTTTTCTTATCTGTAATGTTTCACATGTCAGCAAAGCCATTAGTTTGAAAATAATGCCAGAGTCTCAGCCTATGCCCCAGGAATGGTGGGAGGGATAGGAGATTTGAACAGGACAGGGCAGACAGGTGACAAGCAAGGAGGGACTCAGGAGACTGGGATTTCAGTGCCCTCAGCTGGAGGCAGTGTTGACACCACTTCACTGCCTGAGCTGGGGCAGTCCCCTCCTCTCTCTGGAGGCCTTGGTTGGTTTTCTACCAACCAAGCCCTAAAGCTGGGAAGAGGGAGAGCAAAGGCATCCAAGATCCAAGACAGGGTATGAGACAAAGGGCCTCTTCAGGGCAGGAGTGAGGCCACTGCTTGTCCTGACTGACTTAACACCAGTGCTGCAGTTCTCCCAATTGGAAGAAGGTACCTGCAGAACCTGGTGACAAAAGCATGTCTGCTGCAGGAGTGGAGGGAGGCTATCCTTTCCAAGACAGGGAAAGGAAACACTTGGCATGAGCTGGCCATAGAGCCCCTGACCTTCTGGAGCTAAGTTCCAGCCACGTGGTACTAGATTGAGACAGCCAGAAGTGCTGGCTGATGGAATGGAGCTTTCAGTGAGGGGACTGGTGATGGCTTGGCACGAATGCTGGGAGGGAGCCACACACACAAAGGACACAGGTACAGGACTATGGAAAGGAGCTAAGGCCCCAAAGTGGGAGCCAGTGTGTTATGTCTGGAAAAGAGGATCAGCTGCACAGGCATGGGAGGGAAGAAAGGAGCAGACACAGGCAAAGAGCATGCAGATGAGCAGTGGGATTTCATTCGGTTAGCAGGAAGCCTCCAAAGGGTCATAAGCAGAGTAGTGCCATGCATCTGAAAAAGGGATGCTCCTGTCTGCTGGGGACAGAGAGTCTTTAGCATGGCTGAGGGATGCAGGGAGATAGGGTGGGGGAGCATGGGGCAGCCTAGGAGCCCAGATGTGAAACCAGTGTGAGCTGAACGGGATGCAGAGAGGATATGGGAAGGGGCTGGGCTTGCTGCCTTCAGGCTGAGGGAGGAGGGAGTTCAGTGGTGCCTTTGAGCAGGGAGTAGTCCAAAGAGACCCAGGCTGACCTGATTTTTAGGGAAGTTTACATACAAAAGTGAGTTTGTTGTGTTCTTTCCTCCAGTACAGACAGAAGATCTCAGCACTGCCTCCCCGACTGACCAGAGTATCCTGGAGACCAACATCTTTCTGCATTCTTTTTCCACCAGAAGTTTCTCATGATGGCTTTACAAGTTGCATGTGTGTTTCAGCACTGTTTGTATCTGCAGGTGCGTGCATGCGAAAGGGCAGTTGTGTACACATATCTGCACGTACAATTCCCAAGAACAAGGCTTGCAGTGAGCAGCATCCAGGACCAGCTGTACCATGTTACGAGATTAGGTAGGTTGGGCAGCAGTAGGGTGCATTGGAGGTGGTGGCAGCCAGTGGCCTCTGGGCTCCATTCACAGAAAGCTGTGTTCTCAGTCACATCCCATTATAGTCGTATGACACATACTAAACATCTGTCAATATTTTTAAAAGAAGCTGGAAATCCACATTTTAGGTGTGGAGTTTTAAAATCCCTTCTTAAAATTTGTGCTTCAGTTTGAAACATCAGTGATCTATCAGCCCGTGAGCATTAGGATCACGGGTTGCTAGTTTGCATCTTGTTCTGTAAACCTTTGAGATGCTATGGCTTCACACTAGATCTGGCCTTTATCAGGAGACCTGCAGGATCCCAGAGGCAAGGCATTCTAGCATGGGACAGGTGAGGGGGTCCCAGAGGGCTCCCGAGGGCATTTTGTTCTCCCTGCAACCTGTAGGACCCTGCTTGGGGAGTCTGGGTGAGCACATACCCACTTTGAGCTCCTTCCCGAAGACTGTGCGTTCCCCCAGCGCTGAGCAATTCCAGCGGCCATTGCGGAACTGAAACTGACACTCGTCCAGGCCCATTTGTGAGCCCTCTCCTATGACGATGATGGCGTCGGGCCGGCTCTGGCAGATTGCCCGCTGTCGGGGAGCCAGGCCTGGGATCTTGTTACAGATGATGCTCGCGCCCAGAGCTACCACCGAGGAGAAGCCACTGGAAAGGGGACACAGAGAGACAGAGGTTGAGACCTGTAGGAAGGCCCTCAGTGGCAGGCGCTGGAGGCTGAGGGCTCATCTCAGCCACTAAAACAATCTACCACATAGCCAGAATGCTGGCTGTTTGAGGAAGGGGTAGCTGGAGCAACGAAGTGGACATATTTTGGCTCCAAGTCTAGAGGAATCTCTGAAGACCTAGCTGACCCCTAGGAAATTTTTATACCAGCAGGCAGAGCAATGATAGATGGGGCCAAAAATTCAGAGGAACAATAGTCTAGCACCTAAGGGTATCTTCAGTTGAATCTAAGCTTTCCTTCACTTTTTGGCTGTGTGACCTGGAGAAGTTACATCCTGTCTCTGCATTTCAGTTTTTCCATTGATAAAATGAGGGTGTGTGTGTGCATAACTAGTCCTCACTTGGTAGGGTGGCTAAAAGTGAAATGTGTGAAAACATGGAAAGCCCTTAGAAGCTCCCTGGCACACTCTTAATGTGATGGATACAAGGGGTGAGTGCTGGAGTCACCAGAACCATCCAAATAAAACTAAAAGTACCATGCCACAGTTGTTCCACCATGGAGTGGCACTGAGAAGGAGCCAGGGTTACTGGGAGACTTCCCAGGGACTTTAGGACCCAAATGCCCTGTTAAAGGATGGATAACCTGAGGCCCAGTGTGTATCAGGGCTGGCCCAAAGTCACTCTGCCACTTATATCTCTTAACCAGACCTCTCTAGGTCCCAGAGGGCACCCTAGGAGCTAAAGGCCAAGCCCTGCCTGACTATCCCTCAGTCCCTCCAGGGAGGGCAGTTGGTTCCTGAGGGGCAATGCAGGCCCCCAAGTGCCTGCAGGGGGTGGGGCAGGAGAGGTAGAAAAGCCAGGGGAGGTTATTTTCTGATGTTTTCCGTCCTCTCTTCCCTCCCCGGTGTCTCCGCCCCGTTTCTAATGAAAAAAGAGATAATGCCACAAGCGCCTGGCCAGTCAGTCCGCCCTTTCGGCTGGCTTTGGCTTCCTGGATGCTGGATGAGCACCGGGCGGCGGGGCCTGGGCCAAGATGAAGATTAAAGCAGAGGGGAAAAAAAAGCCACCCAGACTCGGGCGAATCAATAACACTTAAAACACACCCGCAGGCAGGCAGCGCAAGAGCCCAGCAGCCTCCTCTTTGCCCACGGTGCAGACTGAAGGCCACCTAATCCACTCCTCATGCACTTGCTTAGGAAAGTCCCGCTCCAGAGGGCCGAGGTGGGAGAGTGGGGAGACCCAGGGTGGTAGTGTCAAGACACAAAGGATCTGCCACGCCCCCCACGCCCCTCTCTATGGCCCCTGAAGTGCAAGCCTCCTGAAAAGCAGTAATAAGTGGGTTCACTGTTGGGAGTGGAAGGGGAGCTAGAGTGGCAAGTGTGTGAGACCTGCCAAGGCGGCCCCTCTGTCCGTCCTGACCCTTCCACACACTGCACGCACAGCACACTTTACCTCCTAAGTACAAAGGGAGACTGTCCATGCAAATGCAGCGCAAGTCGTGTCCAAGCCACCTGCTTCCACTTTCCAACCAGAGTGCCACCCCAGCCCCACCTCCTACACTCCCGTTGCGAAGTCCAAGGGCTGCTCCATGCCCACCCCAGCGGCCTCTGCTGCTCTATTACAGGATCGGGATGTCCCCTGAGTGTATCTCCCCTACCTTTGTGTTGTCTGTTGGGAGTGCGTGCGAGGCTCTGTTCCCTCGACTTAGGGCTCTGGGAGTCCCTAGAAATCAGGCGGTGCCAGGGATCTGAGAGGTGGCTTTATATGTTTTTTTGTCAGGAACCTCCCTCCCTCTGGGTCCCTGTTTGCATGAACCTTCTTCCCCTGTCACCTGGGACTGCCCTATCCTAGAGCGACTGTGCCCAGAGCTCCTCTGGGGTCTAGGAGCTGAGCTCCCAGGGACAGGCTGTGGACCAGGCTTGGTGCTGTCTCCGTGGCCACTGGGTCTCTGGGAGAATCTGACCCTATCCAGGCTAGTCCCCCTCCCCCGTTTAGCGTCCCTGCAGGTCATCTGTTTGGGGGGCCTACTACACTCATGTCCTCGGGATGGCCGGTCCTCCTGCCAGTGTCTGTGGAACTGTGGGCGCCCCTGGGGCGTCCGCCTGCGGGGACCTTTGTGTGTAGAAGGCCCTGCACCGCGCCCACCTGCCTTTCCCCTCACAGGGTTAAGTTGGTGGGCTGCGGTCGGCTCATCTCCATCCCCGGGCAGAATCAACTTTACCAAGACGCGCGCGGGGAGGGCGCGGGCGGCCCTTACCCGATCCGGAGGTAGACCATGCCCAGGCTGAGAAAGAGATGGCCCAGGCAGTGTCGCGTTTTCCGGGTCATAGTCCCCGCTGGTAGCCGGGGCCGCGGGCCGGGCTGTGCTGATCCCGCGGGCAGGGCCCGGCGGGGCAATCCACATAGCCCGCCCGCCCGGGAGGCGCGGGCCGAGGCGTCCCCGGGGCCGTCGGTCCGTGCGCTGTCGCAGGCTGGGCGCCCGAGACTCGCGCGGAGCGCGGGAGCCACGGAGCGGGCGAAGGGAGGGAGTAGCGCGCGGCGCGGGGCGATGCCGGCTGCGCACGAGCGATCGCTGCAAGTGTTAGAGGCGCGGGGACTGCGGGGCGCTGCTGCCGTTCGCCCCCGCCCCTCCCCTTCCCTCCCTCCCGGTCCCTCCCCGCCCCTCCCTCCCTGTCCCTCCCCGCCCCCAGCGCCCGCCCCGCGCTCGAGCGCCCGCGGGACAGGGCCGCCGGCCCCAAGCGCGCTCCCGTGGCGCTCCTCCGCGCGCGGGGCGGGGTGGGGGGCGGGTCGCGGAGCCGGGTTGGAGGGGGGCGGTGGGATCCCTCCTGCCCCCCGCTCCTCGCTAACTCGTCGGTCAGGGGCGAGCAGGTGCCCAAGGGCTGTCCTCAGGATGGAGAGGACCAGGACTCTCCCGAGGACCCTCGCGCCTTGTCCGCCAGAACGGAGCTGGGGTGGAAGAACCTGGGTTTCCCCCTCCACCCGGAGCAGGAGCCCAGCTTCCAGGAGGTCGCCTCCTGCGGAGCTCGGCCGAACCGAACCGAACCGAATGAGAGGGAACGGGGTAACTGGCTGAATCCAGTCCTTCCTTCCCCCCTCGTCCACCCGAGGGACGGGCGGCCGCGGTGACCCGACGGGACAGCCTGTCTGGGATCCCGCTGCCTGCGGGGAGTCGGAACTGGACTGAAGCCTGGGGACCGCGCACGGAACCGGGTCCTGGGCACCAGGGCTGCGGGTGGCGCGGGGGCGCAGGTGGCCGCTCGGAGAGCGCTCGCGGCGACACCTGGTGGGCGCGACGGGTGATGCTCAGGGGACAGGATTCTCTGTGTGTCCTTGCTGACCAGGGGCCTTGACCCCCTTCTTTGGTACATTCCTCAATCCCGGGAGATAGAAGATATCGGACCAAAGTTTCAGCTGAAGAAACTGAGGCTTAGGGAGGTGAAGGCGTTCTCCTGAAGTCACCAGCTGGTGAGCGGCAGAGACATACTGGAAACAAAGTGTCCCCAACTCTAGTCAGACTCTCCTTTTCCCGTGTCCCCAGGCCTGCCTCGCCTCCACCTTTGGGGTCGCCTTTCTAACTCACACGCGCACACACGCGCACACAGAGACTAATTCCCTGGAAGCCACTCTTCGTGCATCCATTCACATGTCACAAACGCCTGTGCTGGGCACCGCGGTGGGCACCACGGTGGGCGCCCTGGATAAGAGGAGCAAGGAAGGCAGGCGTCCTTCCTCTTGGGGTCAGTGTGGAGACACGCTGTAAGTGAGCACACACAGGATTTCAGACAGCACAGGCTCACTGAAGTTGTCAAGACAGCTGATGGGAGAGAGAATGTAGGGTGTTGGAGGGTCTATTTCAGATCTGAGGAGGGGGCTGGGCTGAGCCCTGGAGGACATGGGATCTGGGGGCCTGGCATTCCAGGATGGGGAGCCACAAGTGTAGAAGCTCAGAAGTAGGCATGAGCCCCTGAGAGGGGTATGGGACTGTGCTCCAGTGAGAGAATACAAGTGGGTTGGGAGGGAGGAAGGAGAAAGGCATGCAAATCCTGGAAAGCTGTGTGGCCAGTTGGGACTTAGTATTAATTGGGAAGACATCAGAGGCATGAAGCAGGGTGACTGGTGTATGTTCCAGAGCAATCAGGTGGAAGGAATGATGCTGTAAGAATGGCTCATTTTGTTTTGTTGGCTGGAAATGTCATACTGGAGCCCTGAGCCTCCATACAAGAAGCTGGCAGCTGCCAAACTGGGAGGAAGCCTCAGGAATATGAAGAACCCACTCCAGTCCTGTCCTGATGCAGTACATGACTGCATGACTAGTGGCCAGACAGGTGGGTGGAGGTAAATGCAGAAGACCCCAGCTCCCAGAATCAAGTCATCCTGGCCTTCTGGTCGGCCCAGCTGAGACATTGTAGACAGTGGCCTGTGTATCAACCTGAGTTGAACACTGTCACCAGTGTTGGGGGACATTCATGACCTGGACTTTGGGTCAGGTGCTAGAGACAGGCCAGTGGACCAGGACAAATGCTGTGGGAAAGCAAGGAGGAGATCCAGGACTGAAGAACAGGTCGAGACAAAGTAGGCTTTATCATAGATGGACGTGGGCTACACGTAGCATCGATGGAGGCTGGTACTATCTGTGCTCTCAAGCCTCTGAGGAGCATCTTGAACGAGTCCTCCGAGGATAAGGGGACCACTGTCCCCTTACAATCTCTACATTTCGCAATGCCTGTGATCACAGCACAGCAAATCAAACGGCTACCACTAGCATGTACAGAAAGGAAACAGATAAGAGAATACACCACACGCAGTGAGGTTCCGTGTGTGTGTGTGTATTGTGTGTTTCCATAGTGGGCATGGATGTCTGTGGGTTGTGATTTACAGAAAGCTGAGAGGCCCCCATTCTACCATCATTCCTTTGCACAAAGCAGGAAAACCTTTAGCTCTCTTTTCCACAAGGTAAACTCCTAACTCATCCACCACAGCCCACCTGAGTCTCAGCTCACCTGAAAAGCCTGCCTCGATCCAGTGGCTTCTGTTCTGAGCACTCGGCTTTTTCCTCTTTCCTTCATTGGTCAAATATTCATTAAGTATTAAAGTGAACCAGGTCCTTGCCAGATGGGGGGACACAGTGAACACAAAAGCCCAGATCTCCACTTTGAAGTGGACACATTTTAATTCACTTCCTCCTTCGTGCTGCCAGTGCCCCTGAGCTGATCCTGCAGAGCCTTTCCCACCTGGAAGATGTCTGGGCTCACCCCGCCTCTCCTCCTTTACAAGGACACAGCTCCTTGGGATAAAGACCCCCCACCCCGCCTCTGTCCCCAGCACCTGCCTGGGCTTTCATCAGCTGAAGACCAGGTCTTGCATCAACTGAGGACCCCAAACTTTGCATCAGCCAAGGACCAGTGCTTGCTAGAAAGACGTACACTTTGGGGTCACTAAGCCTAGGTTAGATCCCAGCTCCCCCACCTATTAGTGTCATGGGCCAAGATAGTTTTTGTTTGCTTGTTTGTTTGAAGTTGTTGGGAGTTTTCTGGGGCTAATAACTTCCAGGTCATTTAATCTTTGGGGGACTGGGAGCTCCCCTAAAGGGGAAAACTGATTCATTGTAAGATCCAGAACCACACAATGAACTGTTTTGTGACTTGGTGGGACTCATTGCCAGAAAGTCTTTTTTGGCAGAATCATGCTAACCCAGAACCTCGCTCCACATTTGGCGTCCTCTGCTTGGATCAGGGAAGGAAAGGGCACCTCTCTTGAGCAGGTGCCAGTTCCATTTTTCAGCTAAACCAAGCACACCTGGGGCAGGTGCACAGTGTGCACGGTGCTTTGGCACCACCTGCTGGAGATAGAGGGAATGGCGGCTTAGGTCTCAGGGCTGCAACAGTGATTGTTTCTGACAGGCCTGGAGCCCCTGCAGTTCTGCACACTGCTGTAAATTGTGGCTCCGGAGGGCCTCGGATCCCGGATCCACCACTTGTCACCTCTGTGACCTTGGGAAGGTCACTTGCCTCTCCCCGTGCCTCGTTTATCTGGAAACTGGGAGGTAGGAAAGGTTTCTACCTTGGGTTGCAGTGAGGTCGGAGAGGCCCCAGGAAGGACCTTGGACGCTGTGTGGAGCACAGCAAGCGCTTTGCATGCATTTGCTATGAAACTGAGCAAACCAAGCCACCAGGGCTCAAGAAAGGACGTCCACGTTCACGGCTGTGTTCGTTGACAGGTCTCTGGATGGGCTGTATTTGTTCCCCCATTTTCCTTATTGTGCTTTTAAGAGAACTTCAGCCTCACAGACTAAAGAATCTGGAGATGCCGCGGGCCCCACGCTGGGTGCATCCTTGCTGAGTGAGTGAAGGAAAGAAAGACTTCTGGTGGGGACGGTGCTCAGGAGGTGGTCAAAGAAGGAGCTGTGTGAGAGCGGCCTGGTGGCGGGTCAGAGACGCCTGTGGGAGGAGCAGATGGGGACAGTGGTGATGGCCGCCATAAGGATTCCTCACTTCCTCCTGAGGCATCCCTGGAGACCCCTCCCCTGGGCATTTCTCCCTGTTGTTGCTGCAGCCATCTGTTGTATCACCTTGGCCACACGCTGGCTCCCCGTCACCTGATATGAGCACCCTAAGTGCAGGGCCCAGCTGTGGCACTCAGGTGAAGTTCACAGGACCCCACACAACCAGCTGTGGAGAGCCAGAGTCAGAAAGGAGAAGTTGGGCAGAAAGTTGCAGAAACCATTCTTGTGTCCATTGTAAAGGACTGAAGATTTCACACTGCAGTACGGTGTTTGAGCAGGGCTGAGGCCCAGTCGTACATGGGACTTCATAGTTGAGGTGATCCTCTGTGACTTGGTGGCTGTCCAGCGTTCTACTCTTGGACTGGCATGGGTATCTGCTTGGAGAGCTTCCACTATGTGCCAGGTCAGAGTCTCTTTTTTGGGACCACTCGTGGAAGCTCTTTATCCTGCCTTAGAGCTGTCACTTCCAGGTCCTGTCTGCCAGGATGGAAGCATGTGGAATAAGAAGGTGGGGCCTGCAGACTCCATACCCATAGCTGGGTTGCAGCAGGAACCCAGAAACCTTCTGTATTACTGATCTTTCAGTTGCTGTGACAAAATACCTGAGACTTTAACTTAAATCAAGAAAGGTTTATTTTGGCTCATGGTTTCAGTCCATTGTCCTTAGTCCTGTTGTTTTGAGCCTATGGTGAGGGAGCACATCATGGTGAGGGCACTGTTCCTTTCATGGCAGTGAGAAGCAGAGGAAGAGACAGGAAGGGGTGGGGGGTCCTAATATCCCCTTAAGGGCGCCCCCAGTGACTTCATTTCCTCCCTTCAGGTTCCACCTCTTAAAGGTTCCACCACCTCCCAACAGCAACACAGACTGGCAACCAAACCTTAACCAGTGGTCCTTTGGGGCACATGTAAGGTCTAAGCTATAGCAGTCTCCATCTGGTAAAGCAAGGCCACAGCACCTCCAGCTGAGCTGCAGCAGCATACATCTTAGGGAGCTCCTGACACCGGCCAGGCTCCCTGACTGACCCTTTCTATTTCTTCACTGCCGACAGCATCTTCCCCAGCCAGCCATGCGGGATAGCCCTGACTTTACCCTTCTCCAAGGAGGAGGCCCATGCCTCTGCCCCTTCATGGCACTCCCAGCTCCCCTCTTAGCATGGCTTTATTTATGTCCCTAGATTTTATTTCCACCCAACTTTACCTTATATATTTATTTGTTGACTTATTTTTAAAAACATTTTTATTAGTATATGATAGTTATACAGGGGGTTTTGTTGTGACATTTCCATATATATACATGTCTTATACCCCAGTTGGTTCATCCCCTCCATTATTCCCCCTCCCATCCCACTCCCCTTCTGAAGATGACTTCAACAGGTTTCAATGTTCCATATTCATACCTGTATAGAAAGTACCTCAGCCATGTTCACACTCCTTTACCCTTTTCACTTGCCCTCCCCCTCCCTCAACATGCCCTCCCCTTGACATGACCTGTTTCACATTCCTGTCCTTCATTGTTTGTCTGTTTATTGTTCATTGGGGTTTTGCACATGATTTCTTCTCCATCCCAGCTCTCCCCCAGCATGAGGCTATGCATGAGGGCTCCCCTGCAGCTGATCTGGTCCTTCCCCAGGGACCAGGACAGGAAGGGCTGGAGCATCCTGACAGGGAACAGCTGGAACTTGGGTGCCAGGGCTGGAAAAGCCAGCTCGCTCCTCCTGCTGTGCCCTCAGCCTGTCACAAGTCTGGGGAAGGAAGTGTGCAAAGAGAGTCCATCCACA